GAAACTCCTGTCTGGAAAGCAGACCCACTGATAACAGCTCCTGAAGGAAGTTAGCATCCAGAAGCCCCTGATAAGATCAACATACCATCCTCCCCACAAAGGGATTTACAGCTTTGAGGCTGCAGGAGAACAGATCTGCACAGGACATCTTCCACCTGATGCCTCCCCTATTCTCTGCCAGGAAGCCCCAAGGCCCCTGGGCCTGGGCATGCAATCTTTGGGAGGAGCAGCATAGCAGACCAGAGCTCGGTGTGAAGACCAAGGCAGCAGATGCACTGGATGAGTGGCTGCGCCTGGGATCCTGTTAAGGGTGGTTTGGGCACCTTGATGGCAGCTGGTCTCTAGGTTCCTGCTAGTTTCTAGATTTTCTGCTTGGTTTGGAACAGCTGACGTTTCTAAATAAGTGACTTCGATGATACAAAGTGTTGCAGTCTTTGCTAAGGAAAGAAGAGCTCCAATTTAACAGTAAGCACTGAACTGTTCTTAGAAACTGTAAAATAAAATGTTTTTTTTTTCTTCTTTAAACCCAGGAGAACCCATAGTCCAAAGAAAAATTCCATTTCTTAGTTTATAAGTCATCCATTGGCACACAAGTCAGATTTCAGTCATTTTTCAGGCATGTTGTGAGCCTCTCACACTCAAGTTGCTATTTGCCTGTAAAGACTACTTGTGGCCTCCCCGTTTATGGTTCTGTAATGGAATGGATAGGGATTTAGGGAAATAGGAGGTAACTACACCTTCCTTTGTCAGGGAAACTGCAATGCTGACCCAGAGCAGGTAGGCAGAAGCAGGGCAGCCAATGCAGATTCAAGCAGAGGACTGGGAATCCTGTGTCCTTCCGAAAAACTGTAGCTGGGTTTGGAGCCTCTCTGAGGCTTGGCAAGGAAAAGATAGCAGGATTTTTCCTGTCAGTCTCTAAAGATCCAGAGGCAAGGACTGGGGGCACCTGGGGCTCGGGACATGATGCAGAGAAAGTCCAGCTTACCATTACCTCGATGCCTTTTCCAGAATGCAATACACAAGTTCTGGAAGGTTTGCAGGCTCCTAGGCTCCTAGGCTACTTTTGCACCACCACCCCCCAAGTTAGAGAGGAGCCAAGCACCTGCTCAGAAACCCACGTGCAAATTCAGGGTCTACTCTGCCAAAGAAAACACCCCTCCTGCTCCCCCCACGCACACACCTCCAGCATTTATGCTCAGAAAAGCCTCTGTTGTCTCTCCACCCCCTTGAAGTCCTGCCTGCTAAGCAGATGTGAGTCTTGGGCGATAGCTGGAGGGGCTAGGGAACCATTAATCTGCAATTTAGGACTGTGCTTGCCCTTACCTGCCTCAACAGCTTACTCTTGGCAAGTACATAGAAAGTCTCGAGGTTACCAAACATTGTCATCTAACAGGGGAAGGGAGAAAGGGAGACACTACAAAAAAACTTAAAATCCACAGCTACCCAAGCAAGCCACATCCAAAATAATGGAATGTAGAGACAAGAATTAACAAAAACAGATAAAGCACAGCTTCCATAGCACCAGAATCCAACAAGAAGGTACAAGCTGCCAAAGGAGAGAAACAATTAATAGTCCCGCCCAGCTGTGTCACCTATGACCCACAACGACCTGCATGGGAAATATCTGTAAAGGTGCAAAGGTGAACCGGGACATGCAGTGTAGACGGCTGAATTTGCATAAGCATTTTCAGATAAAATAATTTGGTTTTTTTTTTTTTAAGATGCAACAAAAATAAAAACTGTTATTGTAGACTCTGTTATCACTGTGACAAAACATCTGAGTGAAAAGTAATTCTTTTTAAGATGGAGTTATGCCCGAATTGCAAGCCCCCAAAAGACCACTACCAGGAGTCGAGTCTGTTGCAGAACACGTGAGGATCTTTCTATCACAAGCTGCAGCCCACCACTGAAGTGGTGAGCACAAGAGCCTCAGGTTGGGTGATTTAAAGATTCCGGTCCCTCCCAGCGTGCCCAAAGCAGGGGATTCCTGCCTGGCAAACACCTATTGGTCAAAATACAAAAGGGATGCTGCATTTTTAATTGATTGGCTATAGGAAGGTCCCCAAACCATTAATGAGCTGGTGTCCCCCTAGGGGGACCATGGTTGCTGGGCTGGTTTCCTAGCAACCGTATCTCTAGAGGGCGGGAAGGAATGCAGTAAGGTGAGTTCTTCCCCTCAGGGCATTACTGGACAAGTCGCTACCTAGCTAGCCTTCCTTCAGGCTTTAAACTTTAAAACAATACCCACTGATTTTTAAGTCTTTGGTCTCTCAATGGTTGATTTCTGTTTTTGGAGTTGGTGCTATTGTTGTCCATGTTGGTGTTGTTTTGAGACAGGGTCTATATAACTTTAGCTGGTCTGAAACCCAGTATATAGACCAGGCTGGCCTCAGATACATAGCGATCTGTCTGCTTCTGCCTCCCTAGTGTTGGGATTAAAGGTGTGAGACACCAAGCCAGGACCAACAGCAACTCTTTTCTTAGCTTTTTTTTTTTTTTTTTTTTTTTTTTTTTTTTTTTTTTTTTTTTTTTTCTTTTTTTTTTTTTTTTTTTTTTTTTTTTTTTTTTTTTTTTTTTTTTTTGACAAGAGCCCAAATCCATTTCTATTTATTTACATTTTGTTAGTTTAAATCCAGGAGGAGTGAGGCATCATGGGCTCTGTCCAGTGGCCTTTGCAGGAAGATTGCTTCAGACTTTAGCATGGACCATGGCAATATTTCCATGGGTCCAAGTTACCTTTCCCTAGATTATTCTGGTTTTGTCTGGTTTGCCTCCAGGAGTAACTGTGTCAGTTTTGCTTTATATACATAAGCATATCTCTTGACTGAATAAAATTCAGTTTCATTTCAGGCATAAACACCTTCAGTTTTAGGAGATCCATGTGCTCTCTTTAGTTCCAGAGAACTCGCTTATGCCAGCAAAGGTGGCCTTACCCTTCAACCTTCCAAACAGATTTGTCTTTCAGACGTCCTGTTCCCAAGCACTCTATGGGTACCAAGGCATGTTTTTTCTTGATGAAGAAGAATGCATTTTGGCTCACAGCTTTAGAGGTTATAGTCCATAGTCACTTGCTCTACTTTCCTGCTCCTGGGGTGAGTCTGAACATCACAGTGGGGAAAAAGATGACCATCACATGGTACCTAGGAAGCAAAAAGAGATAGAAAGGGACTCGGGCAAAAATAAACCCTGCCAGGACAGGAACCCAGTTCCTCTAATGAGACTCTAGCCCCTACCTTTCATCAACAGCCATTCAGCTATGAACCCCATGATCCATTGGTGACATTAGAACCATCAGGATCCAATTATTTCCCAAACACTTGTACTTCTGAACACTGCCATGTTGAGTACCACATTGCAATCCATGAGCTCTCGAGAGCACATTTCTCATCTGAGTCATGTGTGGCACCACCCTTTTCAGTGTTCTCTGTGAACTTAGACCCCAGGAAGCTTAGAGATATGGTTTGACATGGTTCATGGAGCCAAGATGTCTAAGACACAAAAGATGAATGAGGCCTGCATTGTGGCCTGAAGTCTGAAAATGTAGATTACATATTGGCTTGGTTTCTCTCCTGTGTTTGGCTTTGGAGCATGCTTAACGCTCTGAGCTTCCCTGCCCCATAAAGGTAGGTATACACACCAGACTTCAGACCAACAAGAGGAATAAATGATGAAGATCTGAACCAGTGGATAACAACTAAGCTCATGGTGATGGTGCAAGTGGAACTTAAATAGCTCAGGCCAGGCATGGGAGCCATAAACAGATGGAGACCTAGGAAGAAGATACAGGCTCCTCACTGAAAAACCCAACCTCTTGGCCTAAGCCAAAAAGTCTTAAGCTGAACTCCCACCTCCTCCACCCTATTCCATGTTCCCTGGGACCACGAGAGTGTTTAAGGCTTCAAATGGACTTGAAAGTCAAGCAGGTATTGGTTGGCATTGCCTGGCTATCTAGGACAGGAAAGAAGGCCCCCTTGAAATATCTTTTCTCAATTCTGCCTAGTCCAAGTTACTTAACCTTAAAAATCAAAAATTGGTTAAAAAAAAATCTAGGCCCAAGAAATGCCCAGGGCAGAGCCTGGCATGACATTACCATGTCAAGTTTTATTACAGATCTGGTCACAGCTAGGAAAAGCAGGCCCAGAGTTTCCCTAAAATCTGCACTGCCTAGGGCAATCCATTCTGTGTTCTGAGCATTTAGAAGATCCCACAGGTTCTGCTCACAGCTCTGGGGCCAGCTCCCAACTCTCTGGTTGCCAAGGGTCTCTTTCTTCCCTTCTTCTCCCTGGAACCAGAGCCATACCCATAGAATTCCTTCCCATAGGACCTCCTCCTCTTCCTTTGCCCATGACTGACAAGAACCACACCCAATAAAATATCCTTGATGGTATGCAAGTAGTAGACAGATGTCCTGTGAAGGAGCTCTGGACTCAGATAACCCAAACAGGACCAGGATGCCAGACTGAGCCCAAGGAACCTCTTCTATTGCCAAGAAGTAATAAGGTGCCTGCATGAAATCTCTCTAAAGGTCCCATGTAGACTGCTCTCTATATGGAAATCAAGTGAAAGTGAACAAACCAACCTACAATACAAAGTCAATGCCCCAAAATAAAGTTTATTCTTTGGCACTTCAAATTTGGCAAAGGTTAATATCAATTGATACAATAATTAAATTAGATCAAGATCACAGAAATGTCACTGATCATCTTTGATGCCATGAAACGGGACCTGAAAGGGTTAAAGAGATACAGCAGGAGGTGTGGGTGGGGCTACATGGGGTGCTAATCAGCCAATGAGTACCTGTCATTTTTCTTTATTCAAGTAATTCTCATGTTATTCAGCCGTCCCGGAATTGGTGATAATGCTTTGCCTTTTGAGGTAGGTGGTTTAATTTTTGTTTTCACTTTGGGAAATTCTTCAATGATTAATTTTTTTAGTTGTCTGCTTTTAAAGGGACTGTGCAGTTTGTTTGTTGTTGTTGTTTTAATTTTTTTTTTTCAAAGTCAGGCTGACACTTCCAGTTCCTTCTGGCCAGGCTTTTTTGGATCCTGTATAGAAACACAGCTGTCCTGCCTAGAACCTGCCTGAGAAACTGACCTGTATATCCTGTGCCCCATAGCATCCACTTCTTCAAAGACATAGCCAGGAGGCTCTGAGTATGATGCTGGGCACAGGCGCAATTCCTTGGGAGTAAAGCTAATGGAGTAAGTAGTCTGCCCCTCCACGGGGATGTTTCTTCGAGCACCAGTCCAGAGGGGCTTGTAGTTTTTAGTACTGGTCAGTGGGTGGGGCACATAGCAGGTCTTGGTGGTGGTCTGGTAGTCCAAAGGCTCAGTAGGCAGGGACAGATGGGGAACGGGTTTGATCGGCTTTGTGTTCATGACTGCCCACTGCTTGTAGGCCTCCTTGGTGGTGGTGGAGCTTTCAAAGTGGCCACCCTTCTTGACAGAAAGCAGGGGTTTGCAAGATTGAGCTCGGCTACCCTTAATGTATCTGTAGTGGGTTTGCGTAGTTGTCTGAAGATCCATCTTCTCATCAGAAGGGATATACTCGATGGGCTCTTTGGAAAACAACTGGGCCCTTGGCCAAGCTTGGTACTTATCTTGGGCCTCTGTGGTGTATGAAAAAGGTATACATTGTGCAGACCACTTGGCTGGAAGTTTTGAGCTCTTGGCAGGCTCCCCCCGGAGGCCTCGGAAGGACTCTTTGTGGGTGGTCAGGTTCTCAAAGGGAAGGTCACAGGGTCTAAATTTTTCTGCCTCTTTAACAAAGGGTTTCTCCACCGGGTGGGGCACATAGTCCATCTTGTAGTTAGTCAGATCCTCAAAGGGGACATTACAGAGCTTTGTCTTGATTGCAGGCTTACAGCTCACAGTAGTCACAAGGCCTTTCAGGGCATAGTCGTCCTGATGTGTGGTCCTGTTTTCAAAGCTGGTAGACTGTGGCCTGTAGTTGTGTGATGGGTGAATAGGCTCTCGTTTTGGTTGGTTCCAGGGTAAATAATCAGCTGAAAGTAAAGGAGAGGTAATCATTGATCTATCACGTCTCCTAACTTGCATGTGTTTTACAGAGCCCCAAAGCCATGCGCCAGTTTCCTGTGAAGATCTGTGACATGACAGAATGAAGAGATTCCTGCTACCATCTCAAGTACAAGTACAAGCTTGCTATTTCAGCGACATGGTGCTTGCAGCCTGCTGTGCGGGGAGACCAGCCTACTCAAGTTTTCCCCACACACCACAATGCTGTGCACAGATACCTAGAGTTTGAATTTATGGAGCCTATTCCAGCAGAGTCTGACCCAAAGGCAGCTGGAGAGGATGTGGAAAGAGGAATGGGGAGAGCAGTAACACCCACCATCATGGCCCACCACACATGATCCACCAGCAAAGCCAAGCAGGCTTACCTAGTCAGAGCAACTACTACTGTGCCCCTGTAATGCTTATGTCTAATCCACATATATCAACTACACCACTACCAGGGGAGGAAGAGTAAGGGAGCACCTAAAGACAGAATTTTGCAACAGCTCCCCATCCTTATAATTTTTGTTTGTTAGTACATTTTGTCTTCTAAAACCTCTAATGAAGTATTATACTATCAAAACACTCACTTTGCAGATGCAGAAACAGAAGCACAGAGAAATTTGGCAATTCACACCTGATTGCTTGGATTAAATAAAAAAAAGCAAAAAAACAAAAAACAAAAACAAACCAACAAACAAACCAACATGGGTTCAAACCCAGATTGAGATTCAGAGGCCATGGTCAAACACACTATACTCCTGAGGGCACTCTGTCCCAACCAGTTATGCTCAAGCCGTTCTGTATATATAATCTTGTGACATCTCCAAAGTCATCCTTTGTGATGATTACAGTTGTCTCTGTTTTCCAGATTTCCAAAAGACAGTCTCGGAGAAACTAAAATGCTTGCCCAAAACTAAGCCACAGACTTGACTCCACAGCCAAGCTTCCAAACATTCCTAGTCACAACCAGGGGAATGAAAGTGTCTAAATAAAGACTGAAAAAGAATAACCAGGGAAGATTTGTAGAGAAAGGCTAACTTCAGAGTGTCTGAGAAATGAAGACTGACCAGCTGGACCAAGTCCACATTCATCTGAAGAGGAGCCACCATGGTGGGTTGGCACGGCCAAGATGAGAGGACCCAACACAAAAGAAATCTACCCCGGAGATTTCACAGATACATCAGTGAACCTTAGCTCAACCCTGCAGGACAGCTCGGAGACTGAAAGGCCAGTCAGGAGCAACAGGACAGTAAGCACAGTGTACACTGCCTTTCTTTCATAACGCCTGTCTCACAGCTGAGGCCTGCAATGCCTCAGTATACTCACCAATTACCAAGACGAAGAGCACAGGGATGAGCCTAGCCCTCCAGACCCACAAACTCTCTTATAGCTTTAGGGACAGGAAGACTACAAGCAGTTTCTCAGGAGCCTTGGACTTATATAATCAATAGGAGTGAGGGCCATGGGCATAATTTTTAACAGCTTTGTAGAGGTATAATTTGCATAACAAAACACACCACCTATGAAACCTTTCTGTAATCCAGAACTTCACACATTCCCAGTTTTTTGCTGCTGTTGTTTTGTCTTTGTTTTTAGCATATGTTGATTATACAGGATGCTGGGTTCCACTGTAACATTTCATGTATGCATACAGAGATTTACTGATCTTACTGTACATGCCCTGCTAGAGTCTGTTATGCTCTAGGGTAGTGGTTCTCAACCTTCCTAATGCTGTGACTTTGTAATACATTTCCTCATGTTGTGATGACCCCCCCCAGCCATAAAATATTTTTGTTGCTACTTTATAACTATAATTTTGCTACTGTTACGAACAATAATGTAAATATCTATGTTTTCTGATTATCTTAGGTGAACCCCAAAACAGGTTGCGACTCACAGGTTGAGAACCAGGGTAACTTTGTGTATCTCTATGTGGTGGTGCTGGTTGGGAAGGTTGTGGAAGTCTTGGGGTGAAGAAGCTGGTTGGCAGATGAAGACCACTGGAAACAGAACTTCAGCTTCACAGCCAGGCAAGACTTCTAGTCCTTCCTCAGCCTCCTCATCTGCAGACATGTAAGAAGCAGAGATTTCAGGGCCGGAGGGTGGACTAGAAGCCACTTTTGTGAGTGCCAGCACGACAGAGAAAAGGAACAAGGAAAAGAAAAAACAGACTTTATCTCAAAGATAATTCAAAGAAAGGCTTCAGACAACTACAAAAGAGTCCAAAGGATACTGAAAAAGACAGAAGCAAAGCTATACTGGCATGCAGAGAAGGAAGCCAAAATTAGCCTCATCCCAGCAGTTGCATGAAGGGAGGGACATGAGCCTCAGAGGCCGCTCCCGAAAGGTAAACTAGACGAAGCCAGGGCAGTCTGCCCTCAAAGACTGCCCTCAAGATATGCTCACAGCCTCAGTGCAGTTGCTGACATTGATAATACTATGACTCCTCTAGTCAGCAACAAAAATAAGTTCTGTTCTGTCAAGCCATATGGCTCAGGGTAGCAGTGGGCACCATCTTGAGAGAGAAATCTGTTGTGTAAAACTAGGTATACTGGAGCCCGAAATATCTACTAGTTAAAAAGCCTCAGTTTGGCCTTCCCCTAGGTGAGGGAAGGCCCAGAGACAGTTGTGGGGAACAGACGGAAGGGTGCAAGCCACAGGAAGGTGGCTCAGGCTAGGAAGCGTGAGAGAGAGAGAGACAGCCCCTATCGCCGTGGCCACAGCAGGCCTCATTGACAGAGTTCCTCTGAAGTGTGATAACTGAGCCTAGGCCAGCAAGGAAATCAAATTCTAGAGCCACGTATCTGCCTGTCTTTTACTGCTGTAGAGCTCAAGAACTCTTCATTATCAGGACAAGATAGCCACAGCAACATTCCCTCCTGTGAGAAGCTATCAAAGTATGAGAAGTACAACCTGCACCATTTTAGTGCAGTGCCTGCTTTTCACACTCCCAACTCGACGGGGAGATACCTGGTATGGATAGTCTCCTGTGTTCTGTGTGGAAGCGCCACCTGTCAATAAAAGGCTAATGGCCAATAGCTAAGGCAGGATTAGAAGGTGAGACTTCCTGCAGGAACTTGGGGTAGGGGGAGTCTGGGGATTCTTGGACTGGAGGTAAGACAATGAGGAGAGGAAATCAGTCATGTAGCTGAACTCAGGTTAGAATAAAGTGATAATAAGAGTTAGTCAGGGAACGAGCCTAGCTTATGACCTAGGCATTTATAAATAACAATAAGCCCTCTGTGTTTTATTTGGGAACTCAGGCACGAGTGGGAAAGCCTGAGCTTTATTATCCTTCAACTAACAGTCACCAGGTTTTCATGAGAGAAGAGAATGTGCCCAGCCTGCAGAATATAAAACTAAGTGTGCAGAGGCTGCTCATGCTCAAAGAAAAAAACTGTGCTGGGAAACCAAGTCTGACAGACATCAGACACTTGTTAAATACAGACTCAGTGCAGTGGTGTAAACCAAAGAAAGACCAGATTTCAAGTTTAAGCAACCACCCTTCCCTTCATGCTCATCATCTCCAGAAAGAAGATGCCCAACACCTCAGCTTACATTTTTATTCCTACAGGCTTAAAGGGATTTGACTGCTGTATAGTTTTTGTTTTTGCTATTATTCTTTATACATTCATCTCATTTCATTTCTACATTTTTCCCTATTCTTCAGCAATTTTTTCCTTCCCTTCATTTTTTTCTTTTTCTTTCTTCCCTTGTGCTTATTGCTTTTTCCCATCTCTACATATAGTAGTATTTTTATTTTATTTGACTTTTTTTTCTCTTAGCTAAACAACAAACAAAGAAACCAGGGCCTGTGTAGTCTGGCTAGACTGGAACTCACTGTGAAGACCAGGCTGCCCTAGAACTCACAGAGATTTGCCTGTCTCTGTCTCTGCTGGGATTAACATCATATCATGTACTACCACGCCTGGCTTTTTAAAATAATGTATGTGTATACATGTTTGTCTCTGTGAGTTTATATGCACCATGTGGGTACCAGACCCCATGGTGGCCCAACGAGAGAAAGAATTGGATCACCTAGAACTAGGATTACAGGTGGTTGTGCGTTGCCATATGGCTGTTAAGAGACAAACCCAGGTCTTTTGAAAGAGCAGCAAGCACCCCTTAACCACTGAGCCATCACTCTAGTTCCTGATGTTTTCACTCTTACATTTCCATTTATTGCTCCCCTTCTGGCATTTTTCTAATTTAGGCCTTGAACCATCGTACTATTGAGAAATTTTTTCTTGCTTAGCTTTTTCCTTTCTGCTCTATTCTCTTCCTCTCTCTTACCTCTTTTCTATCCCTTACCCTTTTTTCTGCCTTTGTCTATTCAACTTTGCTTTGTCTTCTCCCCTGGCTTCATCTCCTTCCGATACATCATTTGCTATTTCCACTCTTACCCTGGGTAGTTTCTAACTGCACATAACCAAGCAGCTGCCATTTTCACACACATAATCATTGGTTACATGTTTGTCTTTCGGCATCTGCTGTGCTGTGCTGTTGTTTCTGTCACCATAGATTGTTTCTTCCTCATTGAGTGGTTCTTGGGGTGAGCCCCCAAGAGTAGGCTGCTCAAGAAGAACCCCCAAATCCAAAAAACATATCTAAACCAGCAGATGTATAAATTCCAATAAAGAAATATAAGAATCCTGAAAAAAAGCAATTTAATGACTTTACCAGAAAGTTATAACTCAACTATTGAACTGAAATAAATAAAATGTGTGATAATCTTTAAAGTTTTATGATAAAAATTATTATTGATCTGAATAGGATGTAAACAAGCAGATGAATTCAGTCCAGACCCTAGAGAAGAAAATCATGAAAGAAAAATCAGCAAAATGGAAGAGAAAAGCAGAAACAGGGAAGAAAATGTCAGCAACATAGAAGAAACATTTAGCAAGAAAACTGAGGTTCTTTTCTTAAAAGAAATATTGGAAATTAAAAACTCAGTGAATTAAACAAAGAATACATTGGGAAGAAACAC